AAACCCCAAACAAACAAACAAACAAACGAAAACCTGCACCCCTTACCCCTTTCCCCTCAAATCCCCCTTTACTTTCAACGTTTTTTATGTAATAATGCAATATTCCTTAATTGGGGAAATATAATTAGTTGGAGCCGTTACGTTTGCGTCAGAAGCTCCCGCCTCCGGATGGCTTGGCCTGGCCTGGCCCCCAGTGAGCAGTGAGTAGCCGCCTGCCCGTTTCTATCGGATTACTCTTGTCATTGCATCCAGCGAGATGCCAATCATAAACGTGAGGAGTCGTGGTGAAACCAGCCGCTCGTCACAATGATGGTGTTTTGGGGGGTTTTTTGGGGTGGTGTTTCTATTTTTTGTAAACACCTCATATGTCCATTTAAAAAAGGATTTCTGAGAGAATTTTACAGGAAAAAAATAGATTAAAGGTACTAAAAAATTGTTGATATTCAGTTTCCAAGAACTCTCTAACTAAGGAAGTCATCAAAATTTATGGCTATTTTTTCGCTGATTTACCTCCGACACCTTGCCACCCCTATCTCCTTCAAATCTCAAATATCTCAAGTTCTATTCAATAAAAATATTGATTTTCTTTTTCATCGAAAGCAAGACAAAGAAATAAGCTTTAAGATGATACTATTTACTCCACATTCTTCAAAGGATTGACGAACGCCTGATTTTACCGCATTTTGACACAGATGTCTTTAGGGTTAATGTTTAGCAACGGATAGGTGCGTTCCCACACCATGTAAATAGGCTTATATATATATTTATTATTTAATATGTTTTCAATACATGTCATTTCTGTTGCGCAAATTCCCGCTCAACAGCTTGCTCTATGCGCTCTACAATCTATTTTATTACCCGAAAAGACCTGTCTGCATTCTAAAACAACAATTTAATCTTCCTGGGAATCATACAGTGCAATCTGCCATTTATGTTTTATTAGGCGCTAAAACACTTGCATACTGACAAGATCTTTAGCTGTCTGCATAAATTATTATTTGAAACTCCTCTTGAAAAGGGTGAAAGATAAAGATAGCTTCTTGCTAATGCCGTAGCTTACAGGGCTCACGTTAGATATAACACTTTTTGTTGCTGATAACAGGTGTCTGTAGTGTAGCAGTAGGCACTTTCCCGTTGCTCACAGATGACAGGAGTTCGATTCCCGAGTGGGGAGAAACTGTTATCGAATACTTCGCTTGGTCTTTCTGCTCTGATATTGTATCACTCACAGCCCAATTTGGCCGAGATCACCCAGACGTGCGTGTGTGCGTTAGTGTGTGTGTGTGTGTGTGTGTGTGTGTGTGTGTGTGTGTGTGTGTGTGTGTGTGTGTATAAGCGCGCGCGCGCGTGTGTGTGTGTGTGTGTGTGTGAGTGTGTGTATGTGTATGTGTAACTCCTCGATCTTTTGGCCTGTGCTGTTATAGTTAATTCAGGAAAGTGGCCTTTAAAGTCACTCACATAATTCTTTTTTTTTTCATGGTAGGCTGCTTGCAGGTCAAACAAGTCTCATGTTGTCTGTGGGGGGCTGTAAACATTGTAAAGTGTGTACTTCCTATCAATGTGCCATATTATAGTGGCCTTCTGGATATCTGTCGTTTTGGCACATGAGAAGTGCACGACATCTCCCTGAACATCGTTTCGCAGGTAAGTGACTACACCGCAGCATCCTGTGTATGTGCAGGCGTAACTGGTGTATCCTGTGAGGTTCAGGTCCGTACCTTTGTGTAGGGTTTCTTGAAGGAGGGCAACATGAATCTGCCTGTCCTTCAGGACTTTGAGGAGTTCTGTTTTGTTGTTCCTCAAACCAAATATTATGTTGAGTTGCAAGAGGTTGAGGGAACTCTTCTTCTTGTTGGTTATGTAATTGGCTCCCTTCTCACGCCGAGAGTCTTTCCTTGCTGGTTTAGAACTGTTTCTGTGAATATCACCAGTAGCTGACTAGTCGCTCAGAGCAGCCCGGTGATTGTGTTGCCAGGCGCGGACCTTGTTTAACGAGGCGACGTCTGATCTCGAATGTAGTTTCTTTCTTTGTGTCATGGCATTGAGGACTGGGGTGTCTGTGGACTGCCTGATCACCCTGAGAAGAGGCCATTCTTGTTGAGGATAAGCGGGTACAAGGGTTTTCATGAGACTGGATGACCTAACAGCCCTGTGACCGTGTAGTTCCGGTAGGGTTCAAGTAGCCCACTCCCCACCATCAAAGGCTACTGGCTATAGTTGTCTACTCTTGCATGAGGCCAAATGGGAAAGCCATTGGATCGTCACGTCCTGGGTAGTTGTGCCTTTACTAAGAGGCCCACGGCAAGTCAGGCATGTTTGTCTACGTTTAAGAGATATAACTTTTTCCCCATCCCACGCAGCAAACCATTGTACTAAAAGCTCAATGTCTTGAGATTTATTCTACGTTAAAATTGTTAATTTTTGTGCCTTAGTTTTTGTTCTAGACAAGAGTTTGTAGAGTACCCAATTTGTCCTATTTTAGTTTCAAACTTATGAATGAACTATTGTTTATTTTAAAACGGCACGACAGATCTCTCAAAAATCAGTGTTAAACTGACTACGAATATCATGTCTTTTACCATGAGAAACCAACCTTAAATCTGGGAAAGTAGTAGTAATAGTCAAGTAAAAAGAGAAGAAAGATGCACATCTGCTTTTTTAAACTAAAGACACTCAGCCTTAGCTCTTGTTTTACCATTAAACAATAGAAAGTTACTCTGTGTTTGTTCAAGAATCATGCTGTGTCTGTTGCAGCTGCATACAACTAAATAAGAAATACTATGCGATTTAAAAAAACAACAACACAAAACTGGGTAAATACGGGGGTAGAGATAAACTTCTTGTATGGAATAAAAGTAACGACAGATAACACATTCATTCTTAGTTTTTGTGTCGGAAATATGCGCGGACATTTATGAAGGTAAAGAAATCAGATCATTGTCAGTTATTGCAAATTGTCATAGAAACGAAAATAAAAGCTGGAAAAGTCTGGTGCTTGTTCAGTGTCACTGGAATGCTAGAAATCATTCTTACGAGAGTGGTTCAATAAGTCTTTGGTCTGGGTATGCAGGAACCATGGCAGAGTAATGAAATTTCTCCAGTCTTTAGACAATATCTTTGGAAAGCACTATGCAAATTTTCGGGAAAATCTGAAAATAATAAGGCACTAGTCAGCATGTTCAATGAAACCATGCACAAAAATGTTTGGCTTTTCTTTGCTGAAGCTGTGCCATTGAGCCTGTTGAAGACCGTTCAGTTATCAAGTTGTTACACTTGCAGGGAAAATCCCCTTCGGACATTTTTCAGGAAATGATCCAAGTTTATGGTGACAAATGTCCTCGTTATAATATTGAGACATACTGGGTAAGAAAATTCAAATCTGGATTCATGTCAGTGATGGAAGAAGATCGTGAACGGTGCCCATCCTTTGTGGAAACTGAAGAGAATGTATCCATAGTGAAGAAACTGGTTTTACAAGACGGACGTTTAACTGTTAAACAGCTCTCAAGTGAAACGGGAATCAGTGTAGGGTCAATTGAAACGATTCTCCAAGACCATCTTAACATGAATAGGGCGTCTGTGCGGTGAGTACTCCGCCTTTTGACAAGTGAGAAAAATAAGCAGAGGGTTGAATCCTGCAAAACTCTCCTTCAAATTGAGTCAAATGAAACACATTTCTTTAAAAACATGGTGGCCATGGATGGAACATGGATTTATCATTTTGACTCAGAACGAAAAATGTCATCCATGCAATGGAAAACCCCTTCTTCCCCCTCACCAAAGAAGACAAAGGTAACACCGTCAAGTGGAAAGGTCATGCTGTCGTGTTTCAGGGATTGTGAAGGTACCATCATACCTGACTACCTGTTTAAAAAAACAGCCACAAGGGACTACTATTCGGGTTTGCTGATAAAATTACGGTCCGAATTGGTGAGAAAAAGGCGTGGAAAACTCTGTAATGGAGTCTTCCTATTGGATGACAACGCCCGTGCGCACAGGGCACAACAAACCGTCCAGACCGCAGAACAGTGCGGCTTGGAAATCCTGCCACACTCAGCTTATTCACTAGACCTAGCCCCTTCAGACTTTTTTCTGTTTCCTTATCTTTACAAAATCACTGAAAGGACGCCGTTTCCGTGACAACGAGGACGACATTGAAGCTGTGCAAGACTGGTCAGGGGTCCATTTTAGGTCACTTTTTTCTCAAGGAGTTTTGAAGGTCAAAGAGATGTGACAGAAATGCGTTACTCTGAAGGGCGACTATGTCGAGAAATGAAAGTATGTGAGCCAAGTTACAAAACTGTATCTTTATTCCTTCATGTTTAAATCAAAGACTTCTTGAACCCCTTATAACCTACTTACAAAAAGTCATCCATGTTATTCAGTCAACTTGCAAAACCTAGACTTAGTGTTTTAACTTGAAAAGTGGAGTGTAACAAAATATACTGTTCGTGTATTTCATTGTAACTGTATTCTGGCACTAAAATCGATTTGTACTTTTTCATAGAAAAGCTTCAGGGTAATTTTTATAAACTTTCGAGAAAATATGCAAATATTCACGATTATGTTGGACACATAAAGTTGTATTTGGAGGAATTACTTCATAGCGAATTGTGTTCCAGATGGATAAAGTTGCAAAATTACAGCTTACTATTATATGCCCAGATACTATATTTTCTTAGTATCTTCACCAATTTTATGTCGTACATGTACCAAAAGCTCGACAGTTTTTTTCCTGCCTTTTTTAAATAGATTTTTGTTTCATTCACACTAAGACTTGGGGAAAAAAAAATTATGATTTAGCTTTGCCGACTTCAGCACGTCTAACTAAATAACTGGACAAGTTACAATGCCCGTTCGTTTTTTGTTTGTTTGTTTTGTTTTGTCTCAATAGAAGAGATACGTGCTTTGGGTGCATTAAATGATAATTACCATAAATACAAGGATGCACCTGCTAAATGTAAACGTTGAAAAGTACCAAAAATCAAATCAGCCTAGACAGGGCGGGGACAGGGAGCTGACCCCCGTGACCCCGACGTAATTAGGCGATCGGCGGGGAACCCCCCGCTGCAACTAAAATCCCACTGCCGGTGCGCCGTGTTAGTCATTTCTCAATATTTAAATGAGACCCATCACCAGTCCTTGATCCCCAGAAATAATTCGAACAAAATGCCTTTCCCAAGGACACAATGTTGAACCCCTGACAGAATTCGAACCCTCGACCGGTAGCGAGTTTGAGAGCCTAACCACTAGGCCACTGGCGTAAACTTAGATTCTGAACTCTGCACCCTGCCCCCTGAGATATTACGCTACCTCAGAATTACAAGGTTCTATCTGCTCAGTGCCTCGTTTTGAGAAATTAGACGTAAAAAATTTTGAGCTTCACAACCTGTAAATCTTTTAAAAAACAATTCTTTGAATATTTTGACTACGTCTCCGAATAATCTAACGATTTTGACAGAGTAGCAGATACAGCATTTGGTTTCTGACCGTATGGTCTTCGTAACTCTAAACGACCAAAAATATCAGATAGAACTTTGTAATTCTTTGGAAGCGTTAGATAATATGTGAGGCAACGTAGTGGAATCAGGCTCTCGTCAAAATAATCAAAGAGAAGAAACTTGCATTTTTCCCCAGGTTTCAGATTTTTTCAACAGATTTTTGTTTTTGGGCTCAGCACCTTTTAAAGCTATGAAAGAACTCATTTCTGTGTGGATTTTACTGAAAAACGTTGATTAGAGGCACAAAAGATGTAAATTTTCAGTTACCACGGACTCTTAAGATAAGGAAATAATTAATCTTTGGTGGTCTTTTTCTCCCTAGTGTTACCTCTGAAATCAGGTGATCCCCACCTGCTGCATTCTCAAATATCTCGACTATTATTTAAGATAAACGGATAACTTTTTCATCCAAATAAAGATTAAGTGAACAAGCTTTAAGACGATACCAATAACTCTAAGTGACCCAAAAATGATGAGAGCCTGATTCCACCACGCTGCCTCACATAATTGATTATGTACTGCAACAACAATGTGTCACGCCGCGATGGAGTCAGGCACTCGTCAGTTTTGAGGCCTATTAAGTTATTGATCTTATCTTAAAGCTTCCTCTTTCGTCTTACTTTTGATAAATGAAATACTCATCTATTTAGAATAAAATGGAGACATTTACGACTGAAAGAGGTGGGGGTCACCTTGTGTCGCAGGTAAAATTAATGAGAAAATGGCCGCCAAAGTTTGGTGACTTTCAAATATTAAGTGTCCTTGACAACTGCAAATGTATGTGTTGTGCCTTTGAACAATGTTTGTCAGTGTTAAAAGATCCTCACGGAACCTGAACATTACAAATAGAGTTCAAAATATTAAAAAAAAAAAATTTTAATTTAAAAAACTGACACAAAAATTACCGAAGGACCAGAAAAAAATGCTGATTTCCTTGATTTCATTATTTTGACGAGCGCTTGATTTCACCACAATGTAACAAAATTTGTAGCCAACAATGTATTGAGCAGAACAGGGTGGAAGCCAAGAAGTAGAGCTGTTCCCTGGTAGCAAACCCGCTTGTTCTCTCAAGCCCCTAGTTCAACCCAAACTAGAGACTAGAGAAATTTCGCTCACAGTGTCACTGCACGGCGTAGCGTTGGAGTCTACTCGATTAATCGAGGGCTTGCGAGCAGCGGACGGCCGTCAAGTCTCAAATCTCGCTTGCAGCACAGCAAGTCCCATGATTTTGCTTTGTGTCCCATCGTCTTGCTTTGTGCCCAGTGACTTGCTCGCAGCCCGGCAAGTCTCTCGGCTCCCATGATTTGCTATGGCTCCCATGACCAGCTCGCAACCTGGCAAGCCACTTGGCTCACTTGCTGAAGCAGCGAGCAGCAAGACCGTGGAGGAAGGGAGAGGTTGAGCTTGTATTGGTGCAAGAAATAGAGAGCCAGAGCTATTTTTAACTTTCCGCCGTTGATCAGCTGAGAGAGTGGATAAGTGAGAGGAAGCGTAGTATTGTAGTAACAGAGACCTAGGTTTCTGAAAGTAATCAGTAGATTTAGATTACCTTAGAATGGAAAACTCCAGGGGTCGTTGTGATTGGCTTTTGTATCGTACGTGTGTAGCCTATTTTGTAGATGTTTAACACTCACAATGACATAATACAGAACATTTAGGAGACGGGCTAGGCCTACTTCAACTCAAAGTCAGGACAACCTGGGCTGAGAGGCAACAACGCCACAGCAGAAAGACGGAGGTTCTCAGTAAATATTTCTCCCCTTACGGGAGCGAACTGAGGTCTGTCTTTTGTGTGCGACGACGAAGCACTTGGCTCTTGCACACTAAAAACAAAACAGCCTTTGCATCGTTAGAATAGCCGATCCATTATTAATCTTAAAGTGCATTGAATAGAGCTTTTTTATCTTTTACAACCCGACTATGGAAAAAAAATAATCTTGCACTCTTGGTGCAAGCTTCTCAACGCAAACAACCAGAATCTTCTGTAATTTGTACTGAGCCCACAGCCACGAGAGTTCGCGACGTCATGACATAGTACAGCAGGACTGTCCGCAAGTTACAACTTACCGGAAGTTCCCCCCGGAAGCGAGTGGGAGGCAAAGCAAAGCATAAGCCTGCTCGCAAGCCTCTAGCGCAAGCCATCCGCCGCTCACAAGCCTTCAATTAATCGAGCAGACTCCAGCTCTATCAATAAGATGTTGTAGATTATAAGTGTGCACTCTACTTAACCGTTGTCTCAGCTGGTAGCTCGGGAGACCCAGGTTTATGGACGCTTCGGTTAGCAAATTACATGTTTCATAAAATCTCAGTCGGGTGCTTGAAATGATTTGAGACATAATCTTTACAACTCCGGGATTCAACCTTATTGACATCAGCAAGAGCAGGGGTTTGGGGGGTGGGGGGTAGGGGGTCA